GCTGTTGAATGTTATTCCCATGCAGAATTTTTAACCACAGTGGAGATTTTAAAGCAGAGTCTGCTTTATCCCCATTATTGGTTGACAGATTCAGTCTGCTCTTTTGTGTTTTTAGCAGAGATGGGGTTTCACCATATTGGCCAGGCTGATCTCGAACTCCTGACCTCGTAATCCGCCGGCCTCGGCCTCCCAAAGTGCTGGGATTACATGCGTGAGCCACTGCGCCCAGCCAAAAAATATTTTTCTAAGCTTATTTTTGGTAATGAAATTTGAATCTAATTCTTGAACTACATACTTATACAGGGTCTTTTCTTTTTATTTTGACACGGAGTTTCACTCTGTCACCCAAGCCGGAGTTCCATGGTGCAATCTGTAGCCTTCACCTCCCGGGTTCAAGGGATTCACTTTCTCAACCTCCTGAGTAACTGGGACTACAGGTGTGCACCACTACACCTGGCTGATTTTTTGTATTTTTAGTAGAGATGGATTTCGTCATGTTGCCCATGCTGGTCTGCATCTCCTGAGCTTAAGTGATTCACCCACCTTGGCCTCCCAAAGTGCTGGGATTATAGGTGTGAGCCACAGCACCCAGCTGAGGGAATTTTTTTTTTTCTTTTTTGAAACGAAGTCTCACTCTGTTGCCCAGGCTGGAGTGTATTAGCACGATCTTGGCTTATTGCAACCTCTGCCTCCCAGGTTCAAGCAATTCTGCTGCCTCGGCCTCTTGAGTAGCTGGGATTACAGGCACCTGTCACCATGCCTGGCTAATTTTTCGTAGAGACAGGGTTTCACCATGTTGGCCAGGCTGGTTTTGAACTCCTGACCTCAGGCAATCCACCTGCCTTGGCCTCCCAAAGTGCTGGGATTACAGGTGTGAACCACTGTGCCCACCTAATTTTTGTATTTTTAGTAGAGACAGGGTTTCACCATGTTGGCCAGGCTGGTTTTGAACTCACCTCAGGTGATCTACCTGCCTTGGCCTTCTAAAGTGCTGGGATTACAGGCATGAGCCATTGCACCTGCCTAATTTTTGTATTTTTAGTAGAGATGGGGTTTCACCATGTTGGCCAGGCTAGTTCTGAATGCCTGACCTCAAGCGATCCTCCTGCCTCAGCCTCCCAAAGTGCTGGGATTACAGGCATGAGCCACTGTGCCTGGCCCATTTTCTTAATGCATGTTTTTTTCTAATTCTTACAACAACCCTGAAAAGTAGTTGTTATCCTGAGTTTTTGCAGATAAGGACTCAGAAAAGTTATGGCATGGGTCTACTCTCTCATTGTTCTAAGTAGCAGAGTCAGGATTTGGGCCCAGGTCTACTTACTGCAGAGCTTGCTCTTCTATATCACATTTTTTTGTAGATTATAATGATGGAAATGTAAGTGCTCTTGATATGTCTTTCACCTTCTAGATGAGGGCATAGAGGAAGCCTCCATGCATTCTAAGAAATACCTTCAGTATTTCTGTCAGAGTCATGAGATGAACAGAGCATTTGCTTTCATAGGGTGGTATTTTTCATGTGCTTATAATTTTTAATGCAGTTGTGCAATAAGTGTTCCCAGATATAGGGAACAAAGCAACGGAGAGAGAATCCTTGAGTGATAACGGCTTGTTTCTTTTTCTCAGAGACACTGAGAGGAACAAAGACATTGCTTTTCTAGAAGCCCAAATCTATGAATATGTAGAGATTCTTGGGGTAAGTGACTGCTGAAAGTGGAAAATGCTATAAAGTACGGGAGTTAAAGAGAGAGGAACTTACTGAAGATATTTTTTTCTCTAGGTTCAAAAGAGGAATGGATAGGTGATAAACTAGTACGGCACAAAATAGAGGTCAGGGTACCAGGCTCTTGAGTAAGTTCGTATTCTGTTGTTAGATGATACACCCAAAGTTGCCCAATTCCCATAAGGCCAGGCATGGAGAAGAGAGTCCCTTCTTAATATAATGTCCAGAATAGTGCAAGTTCTTTGCCTGGGCTTCAGAAAATACTCAGGGGTGGCCCACAAAGCAGACACTTTGTAGCAGGTAACATGCTACTCGCAGCAGCCTTTCAATTATGACTTACGAAAAGGCATTGACTTATATGTTCATAAGATTGTGAGAAACTTAGTAGGGCTAGAGTATTAGTAGTACAAAGCTGGCAGTGAATGTTCTCCTTGAATATTTCAGGACGAGCTGAAGTGTGGGTTGGGGTAAAAAAGGGCTTAGCCTGACCAAGATGCTTATCTCAGAGAGAAAGTAGGGAGAGGAGTAGGAGGAAAATAAATCTCTTTCCAGGAAGAAAAGGCAGCACTAATCATCCAGAGAAGATGTTCAGTGTCTTTCCTCCAGAGCCACTGTGTAGAGTTTCTTTCTTTTTCTTTTTTCTTTTCTTTCTTTTTTGAGACAGAGTCTCGCTTTGTCACCCAGGCAATCTCGGCTCACTGCAACCTCCGCCTCCCGGGTTCAAGTGATTCTTCTGCCTCAGACTCCTGAGTAGCTGGAACTAAAGGCATGCGCCACTACGCCCAGCTAATTTTTTGTGTTTCTAGTAGAGGCGGGGTTTCACTATATTGTCCAGGCCGACCTCATGATCTACCCGTCTCGGCCTCCCAAAGTGCTGGGATTACGGGCATGAGCCACTGCGCCTGGCCCAATTTTTAACTTTCAGAGCCTTTCCCTTTACACACACTCACATGGTCCTTTGAGTGGATGGCTCTGGGTCAGATAGCTTGTTTACGTATTTTTGTTAATTGCTGTGGACATTTTCATTCTGCCCTTGTTTGAGGACCATCTATATAATAGCTGTAGAACTAGTCAGCTGTGATTCTGTTACGACTGCTTTCAGTAAAAGGCTAGCTAGACATTGGATATTGTAGAGACATACTCTTCGCTATGAACTTTGGCTATGCTTGGCTGTGCTGCCAGTCCTGTAAAGGTGGCTAGGAGGCCACTGACAAAATCATGCCCTTGACATGAGGTTTGTCAACTCTCTCCCTTCTTTTTTTTTTTTTTTGAGACAGAGTCTCACTCTGTCACCCAGGCTGGAGTGCCGTGGCGCAATCTCAGCTTACTACAACCTCCACCTCCTGGGTTCAAGCCCTTCTCCTGCCTCAGCCTCCCGAGTAGCTGGGACTACAGGCATGTGCCACCACACCTGGCTAATTTTTGTCTTTTTTAGTAGAGATGGGGTTTCATCATGTTGAACAGGCTGCTCTTGAATTCTTGGCCTCAAGTGATCTGCCCACCTTGGCCTCCCAAAGTGCTGGGATTACAGATGTGAGCCACCACACCTGGCCCTTTTTTTTTTTTTTTTTTTTGAAATAGTGTCTCACTCTGTCACCCAGGCTGGGGTGCAGTGGCGTGATCTCGGCTCACTGCCTCCCAGGTTCAAGTGATTCTTATGTCTCAGCCTCCCCAGTAGCTTGGACTACAGGTAGGCGCCACCATACCTGGTCAATTTTTGTATTTTTGGTAGAGATAGGGTTTTGCCATGTTGGCCAGGCTGGTCTTGAATTCCTGGACTCAAGTGATCCTCTCGCCTTGGCCTCCCAAAGTGCTGGGGTTATAGGTGGGATCTATCAGGGCTGGCCTCTCCCTCCTTTAAGAGCATTTTGTTTTCCCTGCCAGGAGATGGCACTATTTTCTTCAGAATTCCAACTAGTTCCAGCCAAACACTTTACAGAAAGTTACTCTCACTATGAACTGGTAAAATTTTTGCCATTATTACACTATTTGTTGATGTCGGATTTTGGACATTATGTGAATTTTTTTGGTACAATAGTGACTATGACACAGCCTCTTGCCCTTGAGAAACTCATTTTGTGGTGAAGGGAGACAAATAATTGTAATATAATATGATACATATCTTAATACAGTGAGGTTGAGCTTTCTAAGTAGAAAGAGGGAGAAGAAAAAGTTCCTGGTAGAGGAAACAGCAAACACAAAGATACAACAGTATTAGATAAAATTATGTGTTCATGAAATGAGAAATGTAGTGTGCCTGGAATATGACTTGTGAGGGGGGAATGGTGAGAGAAAACTTGAGAGACTTATGTTGGAAATTTGGACTTTACCTTATAAGCAGTAGGAAGCCAATAGAAGTTCTCTAAGTAGGATAGTGTGCCACAGGTTTGGATTTTTTTTTTTTTTTTTTTTTTTTTTTTTTTTTTTGAGACAGAGTCTCTATCGCCCAGGCTGGGATGCAGTGGTGCAATGTTGGCTCACTGCAACCTCCGCCTCTGGGTTTAAGCAATTCTCCTGCCTCAGCCTCCCAAGTAGCTGGAATCACCCACACCTGCCACTACTCCCAGCTAATTTTTTTTGTTTTTTGTTTTGTTTTGTTTATTCTTTTTGTTCTGTTTTGTTTTGTTTTTCAAACTTTCACATTAGTTGTGTGAGAAGATAATTTTTGTATTTTTTAGTAAAGATGGGGCTTCACCATGTTGGCCAGGATGTTCTCAATCTCTTGACCTCACAATCTGCCCACCTCAGCCTCCCAAAGTGCTGGGACTACAGGAGTGAGCCACCACGCCCGGCCAATTTTATATTTTATATTTTAGAGACGGATTTTGGTCACCATATTGGTCAGGCTGGTCTTAAACTCCTGACCTTGGGTGATCCACCCGCCTCAGCCTCCCAAAGTGCTGGGATTACAGGTGTGAGCCACTGCGCCCGGCCATAGATTTGGATTTTTAAACAGATAAACCTGGTAGCAAAATGGAAATTGGACTGGAATGAGGAGAGACTCAAGGCAAGTGGTCATGTTGGTGAGGAAAGGAGAAGAAAGTCCTGGTTAAGGAAATATTTTATATTTTTTTAATTTTATTATTAATATTTTTTAGAGAAAGTATCTTGGGGACCGGGCGTGGTAGCTCACACCTCTAATGCAAGCCCTTTGGAGGCCAAGGCGGGTGGATCACCTGAGGTCAGGAGTTCAAGACCAGCCTGACCAACATGGTGAAACCCCATCTTAAAAAAAAAAAAAAAAAAAAAGCCTGGCTCGGCCCAGCAGCTCCTGCTGGGAGCTCCGACTGGGTCCAGCCCGGGGGGCGGGGGCTGCGGCCACTGAGGATGGGGAAATCCAACAGCAAGTTGAAGCCCGAAGTTGTGGAGGAGCTGACCAGGAAGACCTACTTTACTGAGAAGGAGGTCCAGCAGTGGTACAAAGACTTCATCAAGGATTGCCCCAGTGGACAGCTTGATGCAGCAGGCTTCCAGAAGATCTACAAGCAATTCTTCCCGTTTGGAGACCCCACCAAGTTTGCCACGTTTGTTTTTAACGTCTTTGATGAAAACAAGGATGGGCGGATCGAGTTCTCCGAGTTCATCTAGGTGCTGTCGGTGACCTCGAGGGGGACTCTGGATGAGAAGCTGCGGTGGGCCTTCAAACTACTTGGACAACGACGGCTACATCACCAGGAATGAGATGCTGGACATTGTGGACGCCATTTACCAGATGGTGGGGAACACTGTGGAGCTCCCAGAGGAGGAGAACACTCCAGAAAAGAGAGTGGACCGGATCTTTGCCATGATGGACAAGAATGCCGACGGGAAGCTGACCCTGCAGGAGTTGCAGGAAGGGTCCAAGGGGGACCTGTCCATCGTGCAGGCGCTGTCCCTCTACGATGGGCTGGTATAGTCCCGGGCCAAGCCGGAGCGGGATGCCTGGGAACCACTCACCTCCTCCTGTGCCATGAGGCCGCCTCAGCCATGACACCACCCCCGTGTGCCCACCCAGCCTTCTTCCGCATTCACACAGCCGGCTGCCCTTGACCCGGGAGGCACCGGCTCTCCTCTCCCCTGCCCCGCACCCACCCGCTGCCTGAAGCCACCGGCTCCAATTGCCAGCAACCTCTGCTTGTCCAGAAAACGGCAACGCGAAATGGAAAAGGCTACAGCCCTCTGCAAAACCAAGGACTCGGCTGCCTCACCGGCTGCGTCTTCGTTCCTCCCGCTCTCTTGCGCGTGTGCTTTTGTTTTTTATTTCAAACAGACGTTTTAAAAGGGAAAAAAAAGCAACTACCTTCTATCCTAGAAGACACAGACTGACAGATGGGGAGAAGGCCTGGGAACCTCAGAGAACTCTGCCTGTCCCCTGTCCCTCGCCCCTCGGCAGCCAGAGAGGCTGTGGGCGGGCCGGGGGTATCGGGGGTTCTGCCTGGTCCATGTTATTTGTCGTCCCATCTTTTAGCAGCAAAACCACCTGTGTGGCTAGGATGATTCATTATGAGGATGATGGTTTTTTGGGGGGAAAGGAAAAAAAAAGAGAAAGGTTCTTGCTCTGTCACCCAGGCTGGAATGCAATGGCAGGATCATAGCTCACTGCTTCCTCAAACTCCTGGCCTCAAGCAGTCCTCCTGCCTCAGCCCCCTAAGTAGCTGGGACCACAGGTGCACACCACCATGCCTAGCTAATTTTTAATTATTTTGTAGAGATGGTCCCACTGTGTTGCCAAGGCTGATGTCAAACTCTTGGCTTCAAATGATTCTCCCACCTTAGGCTCTCAAAGTGATGAGATTACAGGTGTGTGCCACCACACCCAGCCAGGAAATATTTTAGAGTCAGAATAGATGAGACTGTTTTCTGTTCTGTAATAGCCTCAGATGAGAAATTAGGCAAGTGAGCTAAAACCTTAGACTTTTTTCTTTGGGATCAAGTAGGGCCTGCTGTTAAGGAGTTCTGATAGAAAGGCAAGATTTTCCTTTATTCTAGAAGAAAGAACCTTATCCTTGGAAGTAAGGGATCAGCAACAGGAAATTTCCCCTTCTTATCTTGCACTGTTTTTTTTCGTTTGTTTGTTTTTTGTTTTTCTTTTGAGACAGAGTTTCACTCTTGTTGCCAAGGCTGGAGTGCAGTGGTGCGATCTCAGCTTACCACAACCTGCACCTCACAGACCCAAGCAGTTCTGCTTCAGCCTCCTGAGTAGCTGGAATTATAGACATGCACCACCATGCCTGGCTAATTTTTTATTTTTAGTAAAGACAGGTTTTCTCTATGTTGGTCAGGCTGGTTCCGAACTCATGACCTTAGGTGATCCACCTGCCTTGACCTCCCAAAGTGCCTGGGATTACAGGTGTGAGCCACCACGCCTGGCCTCTTCTGCACTACTTTTTTCTAACTTTTCATTTATGGACCTGCCTCAGGAACAGCGACATCTCACTCATGAAAATGTACAACGCAAGCAAGCAAGGACAGGAGAAGAGCGAGAAGAGGAGGAAGAAGAGCAGATTAGTGAGAGTGAGAGTGAAGATGAAGAGAATGAGATCATTTACAACCCCAAGAACCTGCCACTTGGCTGGGATGGCAAAGTAAGTCTCAGCACTACCACTTTCTCACCATTCCCCATTTTGGAAGCAGAGTTTAGTAAGCTAATACTTCATGTTGGTTTTGTTTTTTGTTTTTCTTTTTTAGCCCATTCCCTACTGGCTATATAAACTTCATGGCCTAAATATCAACTACAACTGTGAGATTTGTGGAAACTACACCTACCGAGGGCCCAAAGCCTTCCAGCGACACTTTGCTGTAAGAAATTCAGAGCCATTTTTCCTGGGAATTGAAGTGAAAACATTAGACTTTTAGAGAAGAGAGTAGGAGCAGCCCATGTGGACCACTGGTGTCCAGAGCTGAAGGGAATCAGAAAAGGATGGTTTTAAAATCCAGCCCATGGCATTTGACTTTTGGCACCAGTGTTAGTCTTAAATACCTGAGACAGTTTTTGGAGGAATTCTACCACTCTGCTCTTTGAACCTCATTTGGTTTTCTCTTGCCTGCTCTTAGACTTCTCTTTTTGTTTTTTGCTAGCATTTTAGATCAATTTTGACTTGGTTATTTCTCTACCCCATTGCTAATACTCAGGACTGAAAATGGAACTGACTGATCTCTTTTGGATCTTAAATGGGCCTTTGCCTCTCTGAGAAAACAAAGGGGCTGTTACTTATCAAGCTATTCTTGAGACAGGGCATTGTTCAGATGGTGCTGCTGTAAGTGGGCTCACCTCTAACTAGGCTCTACTTTCAGTTCTTACACTTTGGAAAGAAATATTACAGAATGGAAAAGATTTATGCTAGACCAAGGATGATGAATTTATATGAACTCCTCTCCCCATCTCTGAGTCATACATATTACTAATTGATCCTGGGTCTCTTTTGCTGAACCCATGAGTGAGTTCTGAATATTTCTCAGCACCACCTCCAATGGTTGGAGTTGACATCCAGGATAAAACCCACATGCCATTTACCATCCCTCAGCCAGAACTGCCGTCATGTTTTACCACATCATTATGCCTAACAAAGATGATGCTGACCTGCCATTAGTAACCCGTATTCATTCAGGTGTTCAGAGTTGCTGGGGCTTTGGTAGGTTCTCCCGCAGCATGGGAGATGTAGTTAGAGTTGTGATATTTTCCTGTGATCTTCACCCAGAAATTTTATGTGTAAGACTACTGTCTCTAGGCTTACAAGCCAGCCCAGTGAGGCAAACAGTGCAATGCTGCTTTGAAATACCAGCCTTTTGTTAGTCACAGCCAGCTGTTTACAAACATGAAACACAAGGAATGCTGCCTTTAGGTGGAGTCTTGCAAAGGGCCATGTTAGGATTTATGAGTAGAATGGGGCTAGTGCTCTGTGTTCAGCTATTCCGATTTCACATGGTCCTTTTGCTTCTCTCTTCTCCCAGGAATGGCGTCATGCTCATGGCATGAGGTGTTTGGGCATCCCAAACACTGCTCACTTTGCTAATGTGACACAGATTGAAGATGCTGTCTCCTGTAAGTAAGGTTTATTTACTGTCTCCTAGGCCAGTACAAATGGCCTCTCCTCCTTCAAGTCAGCATGCTAATAACCTGTGTATCTGGGATTAAAGGCAGTAGGTTGTAGATATGTAAAATCTAGGACAGTTGTATAATTATTGCATTTTTTATTTTTTTTTATTTTTATTTTTATTTATTTATTTATTTATTTTGAGACGGAGTTTCGCTCTTGTTACCCAGGCTGGAGTGCAATGGCGCGATCTCGGCTCACCGCAACCTCCACCTCCCGGGTTCAGGCAATTCTCCTGCCTCAGCCTCCTGAGTCGCTGGGATTACAGGCACGCGCCACCATGCCCAGCTAATTTTTTGTATTTTTAGTAGAGACGGGGTTTCACCGTGTTGACCAGGATGGTCTCGATCTCTTGACCTCGTGATCCACCCGCCTTGGCCTCCCAAAGTGCTGGGATTACAGGCTTGAGCCACCGCGCCCAGCCTTTTTTTATTTTTTTGAGACAGAGTCTCGCTATCTATCACCCAGGCTGGAGTGCAGTGGCATGATCGAGACTCACTGCAAGCTCTGCCTCCCAGGCTGAAGTGATTCTCCTGCCTCAGTCTCTTGAGTAGCTGGGATTACAGGTGCCCGTCACCACACCCAGCTAATTTTTGTATTTTTAGTAGAGACAGGGATTCACCATGTTGGCCTGGCTGGTCTCAAACTCCTGACCTCAGGTGACCTGCCTGCCTCGGCTTCCCAAAGTGCTGGAATTACAGGCATTAGCCACCACACCTGGCCTGGCTTTTTTTTTTCTTTTCAGTAGATCTATATCATATTTCACTGTTGTCTGGTTTGACAGAAATAAGGTATTTTATTTTGTTAATTTACAGGAACTTTACTCTCTGTTGTTCTTAGCAGGCTGTTCAGCAGCTTGGGCAGCTGGAACCTTGGGCTTCCAATTCGGTTGCCCATGGTAGAGTGCAGTGGTGCAATCACAGCTTACTGCAGTCTCTGCCTCCGAGGCTCAAGTGATCCTCCCACCTCAGATTCCCAAGTCAGTGGGACTACAGGCATGTGCCACCATGCCTGGCTAGTTTTTATATTTTTTTGTAGAGATGGTGTTTCACTATGTTGTCCAGGCTGGTCTCAAAGTCCTGTACGCAAGCAGTCTCCCTGCCTTGGCCTCCCAAAGTGCTGGGATTGCGACATGAGCCTCACCCAGCCTGCAACATACTACAATTTCTCTGTCATTTGAAACTGTTTTTTGTTTTTTGTTTTTTGTTTTTTTTTTTTTTTTTTTGAGACGGAGTTTCGCTCTTGTTACCCAGGCTGGAGTGCAATGGCGCAATCTTGGCTCACCGCAACCTCCGCCTCCCGGGTTCAGGCAATTCTCCTGCCTCAGCCTCCTGAGTAGCTGGGATTACAGGCACGCGCCACCATGCCCAGCTGATTTTTTGTAGTTTTTTAGTAGAGACGGGGTTTCACCGTGTTGACCAGGATGGTCTCGATCTCTTGACCTCGTGATCCACTTGCCTCGGCCTCCCAAAGTGCTGGGATAACAGGCGTGAGCCACCGCGCCCGGCCTTGAAACTGTTTATATTGACAGAGATTACTTTTTCAGCGGGATTGTGCTAAGATTCTTTTTTGTTTTGAGTCAGAATCTCGCTCTGTCACCTATGGTAGGGTGGAGTGGAGTGGAGTAGTGTGATCTCGGCTCACTGCAACCTCTGCCTCTGGGTTCAAGTGATTCTCCTGCCTCAGCTTCCTGAGTAGCTGGCATTACGGGTGCCTGCCACCGTGCCCAGCTAATTTTTTAATTTTTACTAGAGACAGGGGTTTCACCATGTTGGTCAGGCTGGTCTGGAACTCCTGACCTTGTGATCCGCCTGCCTTGGCCTCCCAAAGTGCTGGGATTACAGGCATGAGCCACTGTGCCCAACCACTGAGATTCTTTAGTTAATAACTTGTATAATTTCTTGACTTCTTATAACAAGGTAGGAAACCAAGTGCTTTAATTCTGAGTTTATTTTCCTTTTCTTTTTTTTTTTTTTTTTTTCTTTTGTGACTGGATCTCCCCAGGTTGGAGTGCAGTGGTGTGATCACAACTCATTGCAGCCTTGACCTTTTGCATTCAAGCAATCCCCCCACCTCAGCTTCCCAAGTAGCTTGGACTATAAGCATATGCCACTGTGCCCAGCTACTTTTTTTTGTTTGTTTAGATGGAGTTTCCTTATGTTGCCCAGGCTGGTCTCAAACTCCTGGGC